GGAGGAGGGAGCCCAGCCTGCTGGGACTGGCATGAGGCTGTAACAACACAGTGGCCAGAACCCTGTGCGAAGGCTCACCAGGGTCAGAGGAGCGCAGGATGATGTCTGGTTTCCACAGGAGCCAGGCAGGCAGGCCTCCCTGGAAGAACACCCACAACCAAGAGAGAGGCAGAGAAACCACTCAGCAGAGCCCAGGCACACAGCCAAGGCCAGGCCAGGGCAATGCTGATGGCTCAGCATGTGCCCCACAGAGTGGCAGCCTGGGCACAGCTAGCATGGCACTGGGGTCAGCATGCCAGCCAGAAGGGCCAACCCTGCTGTACCCCTCCTGGGCCACCCATGACTCCCCTGTCCCACGTCTGGGTCTCACCATCTCCCACTCTGCACAGATATAGGGCCCTGGCCGCAGAATCACCAGAAGCCCCAGCTCAGCTGTCAGGTCCAGAAAAGCTTCCACGTCCCGCTCCTCAGCAAAGTCATAAACCCCTGGTAGTGGCTCATGGTAGTTCCAGGGGATGTAGCTGTGGTGATAGAGGAGATCAGCATGCCAGAGGTAAGGACACCCTGGCACGATGGATGACAATGGGGGCTGGACTGGGACTAGCCCAGGCTCAGGGCTGGTCCCCAGTCCCTGTGATCAGACAACACCCCTGCCTCTGTCCCTATTCCTTGGATCCCAGAGATCCTGAGGGACCCCAGCACAGTGGGCTGTGCTCCCAGGGCTGTCCCTGTGTCACTTACACCTGCACGGCGCTGAGCCCACTCATGTACATCTTGAGGAGCCGGTCCCTCCAGGCGGGGCGCGGGACACGGGCATAGTGGATGCTGCCCGAGATGTAGCGGAAAGGGACACCATCCTTGAGGAAGCAGTTCTCCTCGTAATCCAGCTGGAAGGAACGTGCCGGGGGGGAGGCCTGCGGGAGAGGGTCAAAGCTGGGGGGCTGCAGACCTGCCACAAGCCCATCCACCTCCTCCCACAGTCCCTGAGACAGGGACTGATAGGTCCTGGGGGGGCATCCTCCCTGTCCTCGGTGAAGGGACGAGGCAGGTACCACATTGTCCCGGGAAAGCAGGAGGAACAAGCAGGGCAGCCACTTGCATCGCCTGATGTCCCCGCCTCCCCCGCTAATC